CGCACGGACTGAACCCTCATCCACAAACAAGACCCTGCGGCCGTCCGGGGAAATTCATGTTGTGGTGCTGCAAGTGTTGCCTGAAGTATCGAGCTGTAGTGATGAACAGTCAGCTGCTTGGTGCTATCACGTACAGTGATGCCTATGCGATGATCTGTAACCATATTGTATGAGTGAGGGTAGGTAGATGTGCAGACAAACTTGAAGACAAAGGCAGACAGACGGAATCGCTCTGATGTTCAACTTTTTTCTCATCACAGCAAGATAATCATGCACTTGCATTATAGCACTCGCTGACCAACCGTGGCTATCACTATAGAATTTTTTCATTCACCTGCAGTGTAAAAACAATTATCAAATAGTGCGTATGCTTCGCCTAAATCTTAATTCGTGTTGATTTAAGAGATCACGTACTGAAGTATGGTACACACTATGCACGATCTCCATAACTCCTATCAGCGCTAACAAATACATGTAGTCAGGCACTGCTTAGGCCCTTAACGGCAATCTGCCCAATAGAGGCCTATTATGACAATAAAGTCAAAAGGAAAAGTCTACGTCTTGAGCCAACGTCAATATGTGTCCCAAAAGATAGGATCAGGAAATGCTCATCCAGCTCTAAAAAATCACTGGAAAAAGAGACGGCTCTGTACTTTACCAGGTGTAAAACATTAGGCGACATCTGCAGGAGAATAAGGGGACAAACTTGAGTTAAACCTAAGATAAACAAAGAGGCATTATGGATGGCACCGATGTAAAGAGCAAGCTTTACTTTACTTATCTCTTCCCAAGATTACTAATAAAATAATAACAAAAAACCGCTCTATTAAAAAGAACATGAAATGATGATTACGTCGAAAATAATAAGAAAAATGAAGATGATGATGAAGACTTTTTAGTCTATTTAGAACAGCACCGATAAATTACCAACTGATCTACGGTTTGTCTCCAAAACAAATATGAAAATATCTGACTGATGCCGCTGCGGTCTTTGAAATACTGCTTAAGAAACCACTGTATTACTGTATTCAAAATGTAACGACAAACTAATGAACAATCTACCAAACTATTTCAAATTTAATCTAAAAGCTCTATGAGTAAGAAAGAGCTATCATATGTAAAATGAATATCAATTACAATTCACTGTTCAATGTTTTTATGTGACTCGTGGAAAGTTGCAAATTTGACAACTGGACACTTTAGTTCTACATATGAATATTGTAATTAATTTCGTAACAGGAGTACGGAGTCAACAGAAACAAATGCACTATATAAGAAAAGCAATATGATTTTGTAAATAATACACAAAGCAAAAAACTTTTTGGCAAAGGATCAAGATTTCAGCTGATGTTACTAGCTGGTTTCAACTGTCATACAAAACTGGAAATATGTGACAGTGTGATTATGTTATCATCTGAGTTGTATTTGACGCCGTACCATATTTTGAACTCGCAAGTCTAGAACAACGTAAAAAACCTGTTGGTTAAACTGCGAGAAAAACGTAAACCAAAATGAGAAAAAATGTACTCAACAAAGAAAACAGTGAAACCGTACTTAGAGAGCGAATAAAAACCCATAGAAACTCAGGAGATACCTAAATGATGACGTCAGAAAATGGGCTGAAATAATATATTGTTGACTGCGATAATTTCACAGCGGAATAAAATAACTTAAGTGTGGGATATCCTTTCCTGGACAGAAATACTTCCCTGAAAACCTTGAATAGATTAGCAGCATTTATTACAAAAACGAAAACAAAATAAACTAAATACCTGGACGAGGGCCACTGATGCTCTTTGTCGGTCAGAGGAACATATATTACACCCATTAGATTCGTCTTTTTTAGACTTCCGTCAGAAAGCTTATCCACCTGAATAAAGTCTTGACCACCGCCTTCCGGACCTACTGGAATCACCAACCGACCACCCGGTTTCAGTTGATCAGTCAGCTGAATAATACTGCATAGAATAAGTCGTCGTAAGGAAACATTCTTACAGCTTTGGGTATGGTTGGAGCAGCGGCCCCAACATGGATGGCATCGTACGGCGCTTCTTCAGG